TCCAAAGAGCGCCGTGGTTTCATTCATCAAAACGCTTGCAACAGGCTCGTGTTGTCCGCTAAAGAGGCCAATTTCGTCGCGATGACGCGACACGTTGAATTTCAATTTGTGTCGAGTTTCGAGGGCGAGACGAGCGAGATAGGGATTAATTCGTGGGCACGGTAGTAAAGCTTTTACGAGCTTCCAAGTCTCTCCCATGAAATTCCGAAACTTGTTTTTCTCCGAGAAAGAACGACCCTCGACAATGTGGTAGTAAAACAACGTTCGCGTCATCCTTGACGGTGTGCCGACCCGAAGGTCGTCATTTTTCGACCGTCACGAAAAGGGGATGAAAAGGCGATTCGCTCTTTTTCATCGTTTTTCATCTCTCGTAAATTTTTAACCACTGGATTCCTAAAGTTAAGAGATTACATTTTCAGATTCTACGCATAAAAAACTGTAAATTAGAAAGAAAAAAGGTCGAAAATTTGGTGTGCCCTAAAATAAAGTTTAGCCGGCCGCCGGCTGAACTTTACCGTTTCCGAACCAATGACACGCGTCGTAACGGTAATTGCGTGACGTAAATGTTCCTCGTCTAATTGCCATCTCGACGAATCGTCCGGACGGCCAATAACGACCCGTCGTTGCCTCTGTAACCCCGTTTCCAAGCTTTATGTCCCGGTTTTTCTAGCGTTTCGCTCTGCATTCTCGACGAGTCACGCGGACCCCTTGGTAGATGAGATTGTTAGGATCAACGATGATTTTTGCCGCCTTTTTCATCGAACATCGAAGGTCGTAAACGCGAGGCAACTTGGAAGATTTGTTATTTCATTCGTAAGAAAGGAAATTTTCAAAAGAAATTCTTAGTCCTACCTTTGGACGATTGCTAAAACCTCAACGATAAGGGATGAAAAATTGGTGACGATTCTTACCTGCAATCAAAAGGAAAGGAAAAACGTGAGATCAGAGGCGAGAATTTTGTATTTTAAGAAATGAATCCTGCAGACGCGAATGAAACTGAAAACGATAAAATCCAAAAATACAATGGAACGTCGACGATAAAGATTCTGTTGTTCTCACGATTGATCCACTTGAAATTAGAGAGGAAAGATGGAATGTTTTCTAATGTGTTTCTACGGAATATCGATGAGAAACAGAGCAGAACGAGAGAGAAGACCGAAAGGAAGATCTGCTGGTCATTTGCAAGGCGAAACAACCGCAAGAAAAACGCAAATGAAAGGCATTAGTTACTCCCGACAACGAGAGGGCCCATTAAAATTGCAACTCGTTCTCGTAGCTTCATCATCGTCATCGTGATAGATCGTGGCAAAGAATCATCGTGTCTACGGATGAGAACTGGCCTATCATTTACAGGCTGTTCCAAATTCTACGTTCAAACGAAATTGGCAAAACAATATTTTGTTAGCCAAGCGTTTGTATATCTTGTGTAGCCGAACGTTCAAAATAAAAGAAAAAAGAAAGTGAAAAGTGAAAATGAAGAATGAAATTGATTTTAACGATGTTTAAATTATTCTCGGAAGGCAAACATAGAAGCAATCGATGCTGAGGGAAAGATAATCCAGCGATAAAATATTTGATTATAAAATTGAAGATTGAATCTTAAACGAGACAGCATCCAAGGTTCGACGGTTAATTTTTATTAAAACAGCGAGTAGAGTTTTGAAACGAGCTGTATATCAGCTTGGAGGGTTGAAGCGTGGATCTCGGCGTCGCGTTTTCCGTCGTTTTATTCTACTAGCTTTCGGACGAAAAATCCTCGATACTCGTTACTGGCTCATCGAGCTTCGCTACGATAGTCGTTTCGTTCTCGAAAAGAATTTTGTTTTCTCGTCTCCCCGATAAATTCCAAGCTAAACGAGAGAAACGTACTGCCGGCTGCCGTACAATCCACTGGTAATATACTCCCTGATACTCTGTATCAAACGTCTGATTTCTTTTTAGAGAACGAATCGGAAAATATATTATAGAATAAACAGCATCGGATTAGAGGGAAAACGAGTATTACTTAAATTTATGTTAGTTTCGAGAATAGATTTGCAAACATACTCGATAGAGGTTCGATTCCATCGCTGTCGCACGGAAAGTCGATCGTAGGACAGTTTCACCGTCCAGGAAAAATTCTGCCTCTCTCTTTCCCTCTTCACCGTGGAAATCTCTGAGCCCCCTCCTCCTCGAGCAATTTCCCCTTTCATCGAACGCCATTCCGCCTACTCCCGCTCGGTTTCCTGCTCTTTTTTCTGGGTATACGCTGCGAATCGCCGATGGGGATGCGAAAGAAGGACAAATTCGACACCTACTTGGCCATAATTGTGAAAAAAATTTTGAAAATCAATTAATAAAGTGATTTTCAAGAGAGAAATAGAACAGCGTCTCTAGAGGAGGGAAATGTCTAAAGGCGATGAGGAATAACCGGCGAAAAACAAAGCAACGTTCGATAAACGACTCCAATAAAGAGTCCCTCGAAGCAAACAGCGTCGTAAATAAAAAAAATGCACTGCCCGTTCGACTGCAACAATATCTTCGTCTCTTTCGTCTGCGCCTGCGGTGTTTCCCTGGCCGCAGCGAACAAAGGACACGCGGCAAGGGGTTAAAAAAAAAAAAAGGAAGCAATCGAAATTGCCTCGATAATATTGAACGACCGCGTGACACACACGCGTCTACGTGCACGATTGTATGCAACGCGTGTACCATACTGCACCGACGGTTGTTTTCCAACGTGCCGTTGACCTCGCGTCGCGCGTCCATCCGTTCCTCTGTTTGCGTGTACCGTCGCGTGTGTTTGCGAGCAACGGTCTTACTTCCTCGATCAAGAAAACGACGAATCGTCGCGTTATCGGCTCGTCACCCTGATAACAATGGCGTGTAACGATGGTAATTTTGGCAGATTGGAAAACAATCAGTGGTTGGAAGTTTTTATCAGAAAGTAGATCGCGATATCGATAAGAATAGTGTAGATACAAACGCGATCAAATCGGGATCCATCCTTCCCCTTGGGCGGTCCCGAGGAGAATGACGATCGAGGGGTGGAGACTCCCTATATATAGGCCTATGGCGGACCCAACAATTACGCGGCAGAATTTAAATCGATATTCGTTCATTATCCATATTTCTCAGTTATAGACACTAAATTTTATATTTAATAATTAAAAATCATATTATTTTGTTTCTAAATTATTTTTAGAAAATCACTACATCGTAAATTTCCCTAGGAAATCCTGATTTTCTAGAAAACTTGTTAGAAATAAGGCAAACTCTTTTGAAATTGCATTTTAAACAGGCAATAAGTATGCCTCGCGAGTCGGTTGTTCAATTAAAGCGAACGATAAACAAGTCCGCGAGTTTACAATGTGAAAGGAGAAGCATCGGCCAAGTTTCTCTCCGGCCTTAATAACCAGGATAATTGGAAATTAAGGACGTCGTCTTATCGAGCGAGGCACAGTCGCTAGTGTAAGCCTCGGCGCGCTGATAAATCCTTCCCCAAATTAAACAACCCTGTTGATAAATCGAATTTGATTGAAGTTCATGAAACACTTTAATCGTCATTTCGACAATGGGTCACCGAAATTGATTAAACGATGTAAAAAAGGACAAATACAAATGATTCGATGGAAAAGTTTTTCCGGCATTCGAGGAAACGCATAAATCAAAAGGGAACGACTTGTTTCGTCGAACGCTGAGTCGTGGAAATCAATCATCGAGTCTGTTCAATTCCGAAACCGGTTACATCGCGCGGTTGCTTCGAAGGTGAAACGAGGAAAACGAAGGAAAAACAGATCTCGAACAACGGAATGGACTTTAAATCGTTGCCCATTATTTTCACGTATCCTCGCTTCTGTACACGAGGTCGATAATCTTGCCTATTCGACTGCGAGCGGAGAAAATATCATCCGCGTGAAAGTTTCCTTCTAATCGCGGATGCTCGTTCGAAGAGATGCAGTTTTTAAACGCGATCCACCGCTTTCTACCGTTTTCCTTTTAGACCTTGAAGAAGAAGAAGCCTCGAGAGGAAACAAGAATTCCGCGAAACTCTTCCACGATTCCCAGGATGGTCGTGAAACGTTCGTCAATCGAAGGATTTCATGAAAACCATACGTAGAAGGGTATAAAATAATTCATGAATCACTTTCAAACCCAACGGAATTGTCATTCTTACGAAAGGGAAGTTGGAAATCTTTCAGGACGTCAAATTGGATTCGTCCGAAGAGTCGGCGACGGACGGTACTTAAACCGTAGGAGATTCAAACGTCCCGGTAATGGGACGTGACTTTCTACGAAATAGAAAATTCACATAATAAGCAAAAATGATATACTAACCGGGAGAAAGGAGTGTCACGAATTGTCTTTTTCTCCGTTAATTATCCAGAGAGAGGATCATTTTCGAAATACATAATACGACGGTGGAGGGTTCGTTACTTCCAATTGACCGACTGGCCCAATTTCTACCGATTTCTCCTGCTCAACCGAGCCATTGGAGATGCAACTTGCACTTCAACCGAAGCGTTTCCGATCGATCGCGAACTTCGTCTATTAGCTTAACTAGCACCTGTTGCCAGTCCACTCTGATTAACATAATTATTTTTCATCTCGAGAAAAGAAAACAACAGACAGGAGTCTGTACAAAATGGTTTCATTTATTAACCTTCGTGGCGAATCGGTTTATCTGTCAAGGGCAGCGATGCAAAGGGATAAAATGGAACGACGTTAAGTACGGTCATGACTAAAACGCAGGATGACGAGTGAGTTCTAGCTGGCAATTAAGTCTCCTTCAACGGATTCGCCGCTAATAAAACGGACTGGATGAAGTCGTTTCGCGGTGATCTGATAAAAAATCGCGACAAGCCCGCCGCGCCGGGGACAATTAATCCACGTCAGCTCCTGGTGCACCGAGTTCAACGACTGTCTTCGTTCTAACTCGTTGAAGTAGAAACTTGAAACGCGTTTCGTTTGAAAATTCGATCGAAGCGTTAAGAAAAATCGCGATGAATAAATAGAGAAAATACCTGTCGACCAAGAGTAGAATCGTGCAAGAATTCTCGTCCAGGTATCCAGCCACCATAGCAGACGTCTTCGTGTTCGTCTTGCCGCGAGATCGCGTTCTCCTGAAGAACGACGATTGACACGCGCGATAGAAAATCGGCAAAGGCTATCCGTCTTTCGATGACCGAGTTCACAGCTTCGAGTCGCTTCGCGATCCACCGAATTCACGTAAATACTCGTTCCGAGGCTACCCACGCGAGCAAAGTAACTAGGAATATCCGTAGGCGTATATAGAAGGCATGGATGCTCGAGTACGCCAGTGCACCAAGTTGCTGTTGGCCATCGAACGATCGATGCACCGTGTGCATTCCTCGCGTTATGCGTTTCCACCGCGAAATCGATTTTTCCCTCGACCGATCCGCTTGTGCTCGATCGGTACACTTCTTTCTTTTTTACTTTCCCCTACCAATATTATCCCTTCTTTCTTCCCTCGCTTCCTCGCCCACCACCTTCTTACCCGATCGAACACGGAGACAATCGCACCGGTGCTAGATATCCACGATTTTTTCCATAAATTACCATAAACAGAATATTTTCGACCATCTAACTATGCTTCTGAATTACTTGAAACTTTACAACTACAGACCACTTGGAGTGACTTTATTCGTAACACAGAGGATGCTGAACATCATCTTGCACTTTACGCAGCTGGGGAAAAGAAGTGCGGTGAAACAAGCGAGACGTCTGAAGCGTTGGAGAAAGGAAAGGAAAAGGAAAAGGAAAAAGGAACAGTGAGAAGCGTGGTTTAAAGACGGACAAGTGTGACTCGGGGCGGTGTGTACCAGCCTCGAAGAAAAGGGGCGACGCGAGGCGACGCGACGCGGAGAGCAGATATAGAATGAGAGAAAAAAATGGAGAACTGGTCACGCCCGGCTCAGCCAGGCCTGGGTCTCGACAATCGCGACGTTTTCAGGGCGAAAAACCGACCCGGAACCCAAGTGTGAGCGGTGCAGCTCGCGACCAAGCTCTCCTGGCTCTCTGCAACAGGCCACACGGAAGTGAACGGCGCTCTCCGTTGATTTTTCGGCCCAGAAAACGTTACGGCGTGGGTGTCAGCCTGGATACCTCGTTCGATGCACTCTCGGCTAGGAGGCACGGTCACCTTCGTGGCAGCACGTGAACAGGTAAGCTCGTGTTTGCAGCTGCATCCAACCATCCCGTCTCTCCCTCTCCCTTCAACCTATCCCCTTTACCTGTGTATCCAACAGACAGAGATAGGATACTACGAGAGAGGTTCCTAACCACCACGGCGACGACGACGAAGACGACGTCGCTTTCCAACAACGGAACGCATCTCGGGAGAATAAAGAAAGGAAGAGAGAGGGTTTCTTGGATATCGGGCAACGATTCATAGGCAGATTTAGGTGGATATTGTTTCCAGGCTGATGTGGGACGTTACCTGGTTAGAGAGCGTCCGGGTTCTTGTACCCTGATCAACCTCCATGATGATTTTTCAACAGCACGCGTGTGCTGCTTTCCGACTACCTGCGGATCGTGGGTGATCACTCTCCGTGGCTTTCTATCAACATCGCTATTGATGTTTCATGCAAAGGGTATTGCAGGATAAGATAGTCAAAAGTGTTCGTCAAGTTTCAACCCTGTATCTCAATCAGGAGGGTAGAATAGAAAAAGCGGTTTCTGTCATATTTTCCCAATTTCTTCGGATTTTTCGGAAAAATGAAAAACGCAAAAAAGAGTCGAAAAATTGAGATTTCGGTTTGAGAATTTCAACAGAAGGCTGGTGACTCGGTTAATATTAGGTTATTCTGATAAATTCTCAGGTAGCCTCGTACGGTGGATAATGAAATGAATCAATTACCAATGAATTAGCTTAAGCCTTTCAAACTCTTGACCAGATAATCGCTTTTATTTCGCTTCGTTTCATCGACTCGAGCTTCCAACTTTTATTCTCAGACGTCTTTCTATCCAATCAGCACGGCCCTTCCCACGAGAATAGAACTCGTTGAAAAGTTCTGAACCGGTCGACTTCTGCTTTCCTGATCACTCGCATCGACGATCACACTTCCTTCCTTTCGACCGGCTTAATTAACGAACCCCTAACTTTTTTCCAGTATTAACGCTTAATTCGCGGAACAATTAGCCCGACGTTGGAGCAAGCTCGATTTCAGAGACACTTTCTACGAAAATCTATCGATCGAAATGTGGTACACGAAGAGGCGAGTTCATCGTGCCGCGAGGCATTTCTATTTCGTATCCTGCGAAGCGCAGAGAATCAGGCGAGATCCGTGCTGAAATCGAGCGATAAAGGAGCACTTTCTAGCTATCGGGCTTCATTAACGATTAACTATTTAAACGAGCCCCGTGGTACATCTTCTATGGTTGAAAGTGGCCGTCGCGTTCCACTTGCGAGGCGGATCGGTGACATGTAATTTTCTCCGCGATCCCGTGCCGCGATATTACTCGCCCGCCTTTAATTCGACAACCGAACCGTGTCCGATCGTTTCCGACGAAACTAGTTCAGATTTTTACGCGGCACGGAAGAACGGTGACAACCGGCACCGGAACCAGAAGAGAAAACGATTTCCAACTGCTTTTCAATACACGCTCGAGGGAATCTCGGTGAAACGATCGATCCCTTCTCGCTACCAGATAATTACCCGATTCAAATTCGTTCATTTATCATCCTTGATACATGCAATTAGTTAACGATCGCCGTGCTCAGCGGATGGTTGATCAATGACGGCCGGGTGTTGCCTCCCTTGGCGGATGAACAACGATATCTATGGAAACATCGCGATCCCAAAGATCACCGGCCGGCAAAAGGTAACGTTTTGCATAAGCCGCGGACTCGCTTCGATCACGAAGAAGGGGGATCGCAAAAAACCGGCAGGACCGAGACGAAACAGGTTCCCGGTGGCGGATGGCGGGTTGCAACTTGCCACGAGTCTTCGTTCCGGCGCACGTGAGCAGGAAAGTGGTAAAAGCCACGACGGAATGCGCCGAGCAGCCTTGAACGCGGTTGCATTGCCGTGTCACGCGTTACATCGCCGACTAGCGATACGACATTACCTCTCTAACTGTCGCTGTCTAACATCAGCCGCGACATTTAACGAGGGAGCGCACTGCTCAAAATTCTCTGCTATTTCAGCGTAAATTTATAAAAATAAAATAAAAATGAGATTTAATAAAACGAGTATTACAATTATACCTCCCTGTCAGTATCTTGCCATTTAGAGAGGCACTGTATAAATCTCCGACTATTTCTCCATATACCAGTTGGTTTATCCAGAAATCTCGGAAAATAATTTATCGAGGCTTCTCTCGGAGACGCGTCCCGTAATAAACCACGTCGGCGTGCATTCTCCTCGTATTCTTTGTTTTCGCCACTCATAAAGCGTATGCAAAGTCGTCGGTTGTTTAGAAACACGTCCTCGCGATGAATTATCAATAGCGATTAATCGTCGACCGGGTACGATCGCTTCATTGAATCCTGAATCCTTCTTTTGCATTCGATCAAGCCTGCTGATCGAGTTTCGTCTTCCGTTTAGTCTATCGATCCTCTTCGTCATTTTCTATTTTCTTCTTGATTAACAATTAAGATAAGCGAAATTAGACGAACGGTATGTCAATGTTTACGACAGAGCTGTGACACGTCGCGCTACTATGTTGCAGTATCGTTGCGATAGAGTATCTTTATGGGTTAATTACGAGATATCGACGTTCAAATAATTCAAATTCGAATGTTAGAATTATTCGAACAGTTTCTTCGATGATTTCGAATTTCTTTAGATGCGAAATTTTCGAGATACGATGAAACTAGGTTGCAGATGGGAGTGTCGAACAGAGATGATGCACGCGACTGCTTTCCCGCGATCGGCTCTATCCGGGATAGGAGAATTAATGCACGATCGAACGATGATATACCGATCGTGAATCTTGAGAGTCGATCAACGGTAATCGCCGGCCCTGATATATCGGGAACCCGTATCCTCCACTGGCTGGCGACTTTCTAATTTCGCGGGAAAACCGTCTCTACTCGTAAGGAAGATACACGTGGAATCGAAGAGTGATAATTAATTAATCATTTTCTCTGTGCTTTCAAACTGATATACGAATCGATTGAGAAACATTTGAAAAGCAAGCTCGAAAGCACGGTACGAGTCCGCGAACTTCGGCCCGTCTCGATATATTTATTTCTGGCCTCGGTTAGGGTTCTCTCTCTTTCTCTCTTTCCTTCTGGCGTAACGGCAGTAGTAGCGCTTCGGTAGTTGCACCCAAGTGCATTTCACCGAGATTACGGGTGTATTGACCCCGGCGTCACCCCCTCGTCGCCCTTCCGCCACTTTCCTTCGGCTGCATCTCCTCTCCAGCCGTTTTCTGCCTCCTCCGACCGGAGGTCGCCGACGACCATGTCCCCCACCAAAAGCCCTTCCCTCCTTTACCTCTTCCTCTCCTCTCCTCGCAGACTCCGTCGCTCCCTCTGTTTCCCATCCCTCCTCGCCCTGCACCCATTAACCGTCTCTATTCCTCGTTTCGTCCAATTGAAAAACATGATATTTTTCATTTACCCTCCGAATGAAAATTGGAGAAATTATGAAATTTGCATCGATTTCTATTGAAGAATATTCGCCAGACGATGATTTTACCGCGGAACTCGTTCTAGCCGAAGGATTAAGTGCAGCATCGCGTCGCGTCGACTCGTCACCCGTTATCACCGACGAGATGACGTCCCCCGAGAGGGTTGGATCGTTAGGGATGTCGGTGTTTTCACCGTCTACCCGATTCTTCTCTTCCTCCGCTCGTTCTTTCCGTCACTTTCTATTCGCACCCTCCGCAGCAGGAAGAAGCTCGAGAGCTTTCGAAGGGCGCGACGAGCTAGGGTCAAGGTATTCGAGCGAGTTGCCTCGCGACTTGGAGGGTCGATGTTCCACGCGTTCGCGGGATTGATCGTGAATAATAAAAATAGAAAGAAAGAAAGAAAGAGGTGAGAACCAGGGTTGATTTCGAGCCGCTGCAAGTTGGAGAAGGTCATGGTACTTGGATTCCTGAGTATCTTATTCAGAAATCATTTTAATTATCCCTGTCCTATGTTCGCTCGTGTAAATTTCAATTATTGCGATACTCTGACAGCTCGCCAGTTGCGCGAAGATTTCCGCGAGCGAATCCACTTGGCTGTAGTAAGCGAAGCGGTTGCAAAACGGATCGCGGGCTGAAACGATCCCCCCTTTTGGTTGGGTCAGCAGCCGCACGCAGCGCGAAGTGAAAGTAACATTCTAGACACGTGATGCGGCATCACGCTGCACACACCGCGGAAAAATGCACCGCACTGCACCTGTGTGCACCGGTCAACTGCGACACGTGTTCACCGTGCACGCTCGCGATTCCATTCGACTGAAAACGTTCCTTCAACCCTTTCTCTCGCGCCACGAGTCCGGATACTGAAATTCCCGAAATTATCTAAATTCAATCTAAATTCATCGAAACCCATCGGTATCGTACTAACAATATAAAATACGCTTCCGGTCGCTTCGTCACTGACCGTTCCAGCCAGTCCTCGTCTATGATGCTCAGTAATTTCCTAACGAACCGCGAACGGATTCGTTGCTCGAGCAACCGGCATGATTTATAGCGGCTTCCACGCGTTTATGGACAACGACGGGCAGAACTTTAGCCAAGGGTTTCGTTCTCGATGGTTCGCCTTGCCGAGGTAGATGGGCGCAAGGACCCCGGACTCGGAACTCGCAACGCTCTGAAGCCGGTGAACACGACTCGGCTGGAAGACTAGGATTGCAGAGGGGCTAAGGGCCTTGCACGAGACTCGCTCGCTCGCTCGCACGCCAGACAGACCCATAAAACGCTTTATATTCTTGCTCGCGAACGCCAGCCTATAGCCAGGCTATATACCGCGAGACTTTTCTAAGCTCGCACGGCCGAAAGGGAATAATAAAAGCGTCCTGCTGGACGAGCGTGTCTGCGAATAACGCTCCTTTCTTCGACTGCATAATATTTTCAGGCTAGACGTCTACGAACGCCTTTTTATTCGTAATTCATCGTTCCTTTAATTTTCGACATTTTTGAGTGACGAATTATTTTCCAAGTTTGGGAATAAAGTTGGGAGATGGGTGAAGGTTTGGTAGAGAGGAGACGCGTCGAGTTTTCAACGAGTGCTTGAAAACGAGACTGTAGACTATTCTTTCGCCTCGCCGAGTCTGTCCTTCTTCTTCGACTCCGTTCTCTTCTTCCTAGTCCAAGGTGGAGGAGGTTGTTGCACCCTCCTCGAGCATTGTGCATGCGTGCACGACGAGGGTGCCTAGCCCCCTCATCCTCTACTCTGTATGCAACCCGTCTCTCCTCTCCGCTCCTGCAATGACACGCGCGCGCGCACATACAGCTTCGTGTGCAGAGGCATCATAGCGGAAGAATTCAGGATTATCGATCGCTATCTCCACTGAAGAGGTCCTGATCTCGTTTCCAAGAATTTCTTTGAAAAATTCACCCTTTTAGAATTGAACGTTTAATAAGATAACGTTCGCAGAAGTAATTGAAAAGCAACGAAGGATTGTTCGACGTAGGATCACCGCGACACGAATGGAACACACAGGATACGATTCACATTAAGGTCTCGTAGAGCAACGAGCCTGTCGATAAGGTATGCGACTCGCATATATCCGTGAATCGTAGGAAGTTCTCGTAGCTTTTTCTTTTTGTCGCTTGCATAGGCATAGCTACGATCGAACAAGGAGAAGGTGTCGCTGACCCGTCATCGAATTGATCGGCCTGTTAATTAGCCGTGTCAGAATCCGACACCGTATCCGCGCCAGCACCTTTCTAATCTGCATGATAAAGGAGCGGCGTAAATTAAACGACGATAAAGAGCGTGGTAGTCGTGCGAGGCCCATTATGTCCCCCCCCCCTCCGTGAGTCATACGATTCTTATCGATTATCGTGTCGCTTTGCTAATGGAATTAATGAATATTTCACGCCGCTCCTATAATCCTTCCTGCTCTCTCTTTCTCTCTCGCTCTCTTCTAATTCTTCCGCCCTGACAATTCTTCCGGCTGATAATAATTTCCAATCGATTTCAAATTTTCCTTTCAGAATACCGTGAATTGCCGGGTGGGCGTTGAAAATTTCACTGTTGAAAGATAAAAGAAATTGAAGAGAAAGATGGGAAGACTCGTCAGGGTCGACGACCTTGCATTAGGTCGCAGCCTTGACATCGTTTCGAGGATACCTCTCGATACGACACGCCACTGATCGTTAAAAACCTAGACCAACTGCATCTATTAATCGTACACGTCTACCTACTCGTTTGTTCTCGCTGAGATTCACGTTGGAATCAATATTACAATGGGTGATCAACTTATTAGAGCGACGATATGAAGAACAGGTTTCTCGTATTTGCGTGGAGCCACAAATTTAAGACATTTTTTATTTCTGGCCCATACTTCTATCAAACGTTCAATCAATTGACATTTATTACTAACAATAAATGTTCCCACAAATCGTCGATGGGGTTGAAGTCCGGAAAATTTCCAAGCCAGTCAACAACTTTCACTTTTCTCTACTGTGTATAACTTTACAAGCATCGATACATCACAAAAGAAATAACAAAAACTATGTTTAACTAGCTTTTCATTTAAGAATTAATTTTTTAATAAAATCGTCAATTTATGCGAGCAGCTCTAATAATTCGATCACCCATTGAAACTGAATAATTTTACCTTGATTCTCTTGATAGACCGATAGAGGTGCCAATTTATACGATTCTTACCTGAAAACAGAAAAATGAACGTAGAATTAATTACCCGTGCAAAGATGCACC